TTTCTACTTTCTACTGCTACTCCTTCTCTCCTTCTTACTGCTGTCTTTCAGGCACACCCCTGATCTCTATAAAAGGTAGGAACAACATCAAATTAAATGACATTACGTTACATTATATAAACAAACAACAACAAAAAAGTAATTGGAAAACAACAAACCAAAAACAAGAAAAAATTTACGAGCTAACAAATTAAAATGCGCGCTCATATGACCTTAGCAGTTGCGAGCGCCGTAAAAACTTATACCATACAACAAATTAAAATACAACAAAGAGGAAAAATAAAAGAGGAACAGAAATACAAATAGTATGTAATGTACTTATTTTTATTTTTCAAAAGAAAATAACAAATCAACGAGATGTAAACAACTGAGAGAAAGATTACTAAGAGACGAAGTGCAGCTAAAGTGAAAATAAACTTTCTTTCTAAAAGTAAAGAGGTTCGGTTCCTTTCTTCTTTTTTTTTTTAGTTGACTTTATTCCCCGGCGGTGGTTTTTGTTGTTGTTGTTGTTGTTGTTGTTGTTGTTGTTGTGGAAAAATGTAAAAATCGTGGCCGCGATTTGTGGACCCAAAAATGCCGCGATTCGACGACAAACGCAGGTGCTAGACAAGGTAGGCCTACTGCATGGCTGCCTGCTCATGTTGGTCACTAAGAAAGACTCATGATGGTTGAAGTGAACTTGCAACATGAGAACAAGTGAAACAATGAATACATGTTTTGATATATGCATAAGATGGACATTCAGACCACATTGGCTTGTCAGTAATTATAAACTTTCCTGACAATAATTTCGGGTGTGACATAACAAATCATGGACATTTTTACAAAAATAAAAATAAAAATTATGCAAGTAGCTCCATAAAAATGCATAAATTATATACAGCAGTTAAATATGTATTTCCTTACTGATATATTTATTTGCAACTAGTAGGCCTACCGTGTGTTTCTTTGGGGGGGGGGGATAAATTGGCTTTATTGCATTGAACATTTTTCTTATTCAATACTGTACAGTATAAAATAAATTAGTAACACTTTCTTACAATTTATGTCAAAACAGCAGCATCCGCACAGAAATAAAAGCTTAGTTCTGTCAGTGAAATATTATAAATAAACAAGTTGTCATCTCGCTAGTTCCTTCTGACAATCGGACACTGGCTGAGTCTGCTGAACAGTTGCGCACTTTTTACCTTTATGTACAGTATAATTCTTAAGAATGGGCTCTAGGCAGAGATCGTGAGAATAAAATAAATACCTTTGAAATACAGTAGTCTCCGCGTAAACGCACGGTGCTCGGGAGGGCTCTTCAGCGTGTGTTTATACAGAGCGTGCGTTTACATGAACCTTTGCAAGGGGAGGAAGGGACGCAGTCATTTCATTGCCTTGATATTCTAGTGACCTCCCTTCGGGGTGAGCGTCAATTTTTGCAGATAATGTGACTGCGGTTATGACTACAAAGGCGTTGAATTGGGGGGGGGGGGGGGGGTATAAAGACAGCCTCAATGTAAATTAATGTAATGAATATATGCACTATAAAACGTCAGGAACAGCTAAGACTAAGAGGAAACTGTTGGAGATAGTCATAGATCTAGTCATAGAGACGACGGCGCGGCCACGTGGCTCTCGAAGCGGCCACCCCCGGACCATAAATTCACGGACGACATCAGAATCACAGATCTCTACATTCACTGAAGAGAAACGTTTCTCTTGTGATTCGTTGAACAAGTACGTTATAAGAATACATATAAATATAAGGTCTTCGAGCGCAACTGATTAGGCTTACTTGGCCAATCTTAAACCCTATTGAGGCCTATCTGGTGTTTTACTGCATTTACACGTGTTGCGCATCAGGCCTAGGTTTAACTAAACATTACACGCAGTCACCCAAACACCAGTCAGAAACCTTCTCTCAAAGATGCATTTCCAGTGACCAATCAAAAAACAGTTCAGTCCCCCAACCACCCCCCCCCCTCCCCGACTAGCCCTAGACCGAGAACCAGACCTATGTGTCTGGAAAGTTTGGTGTGAAAACGCTGTCCATCACTCTCTTTGTTCCGCGTGAGGGGCACTCTCACCCGGTTTTCTTGGCTTGTCTATCCAAGCTGTGCAGGTTGTCGTGAAAATTTCCGCTTGTCAAGCTTAACTTGTCGGCGTGTTTCGCGGATCGGAGCGTGCGTTTAGAGGGAGTGACCGTGCGTTTGTACGTCTAAATTGTATAGTTATAAACCCGTCAGATGACGAAAGCGTGCGTTTGAGCGGAGCGTGCTTTTGTATGGCGTGCGTTTAGGCGGAGACTACTGTATGTTATTGGAGAATGAGGAAGAGCAGATGAACAGACAAGAACCAACCAAGAAGTTGGCCAAATATCAAGAATATCACCAGGGCTTTTAAACAGAATCAAAGTTAGAAAACTGCAATATTTTGGCTTCATCATAGACACAGCACATTTCAAAAAGAGAAATACACGTAGAAGACATGCTAGAACTAGAAGTGATTGGGGGGGGGGGGGGGGGGGGGTAGGAAAGCAGAAATTATGTGTATACCCGATACAGTAAAATTCAGATTCAACGAAGCTGTCAGGCCTGACCTTTAATATCATTGTATCTAAATGTTCAGTATAATTAATAGCAAACATGAGGTTTTTGTGTAGCTAATAATAGGCTCCGGGCATGTAATGTATAATGTGTTCCACTTTCTCAGTCAAAAGTAGTTTGGTTTCAAATGAGAGGCATTTTAGTTTCTTCGAGGCCATCCTGAAGAAATGCTGGAAAATTCTAGGAAAACAAACTGAACTATACCAAGCACATACTATGAAAAAGGGCCGCAGGGCTGCCCACCACTATGAATTTGGCAGAATCGTTGCCAATTTTACTCAACTTTACGAAAATACGATCGTAATACCCCTGATTCTAATTTTTTTTAAAATTCCTGGTATGTAAGGGAGAAAAATTAAAAACTACAGTAGAATCCTGTTATAATGAGAGGGAAGGGACTGGTACGAAGAGTCCATTATAGCAGGATTCTAGTTATAACGGGTCCTGTAATAAATTCAATGGAAATAATAAAGTATGCCTAATCTATGAGTTTGGTGTCCTGTTTATTTCTTTTTGTTATCTCCCCTGGGAATGATTTGGTTCAAAATGACCCCTTGGTATTGATCAAAAATGGAATCAGGTTTCTTTCTCTAGCCCTAGCGATGTTGACAGCTCGGCGTTGGTGATCAGAAAGAAAGGGCTCTAGGCTAACTCGCCCGCTGTTGTCCCCCGCCTCACCACACCCTTTGTTGCGTTCCGTCTGCTTGCACACGTCACTCATTTGCTCCATCCATCACATCACTGTGACCTCTCCATCCCTGCATCGGTGAAGTGAGAGGCACGGTAGGGCTAGATCACAGAATTCTACTCTTAGTGTAGAATTCTGTGGGCTAGATAATCTAGACTAGGCTGGCCTATCAGTCACACGATGCGTTCCGCTTGTCAGCGCAAGCCACACCCTCCCCACTCATTCACTCCGGCCTTCATTGTTGGCACATGTGGGCTCTCCCATTCTTTGTTTCGCTAGATCACCAACAAGTTTCTCAACTGGCGAGGTATACATTATGTATAACTGGCCTATGCGCTGTGCACAGCGGCAGCAATATTCCGCTATAACCGACTCGCATGTTTGTCTGATTGCGCTATAGCAGTATTTTATTTACAAAGATTAAGAAGAGAAAAAAAAAAGTGGTTTAACAGACTTCTCATTATTTCAGGACTCGTTATAAGTGGACTCCACTGTACCAGCCTCGGACAGTCTATGTCACATGGAGCTGTCTTAACTGTAACAGTCTAAAATTTAAAAAATCTTTAAAGACACTTAATGACATCATTTTTATGTCAGTAGATTCATCTTCAGTACAATGTTATGTAAATGTCTATGTATCCATTTATGTATTTTGCGAATTGTTGTGTATTTTATTCTATTATGTATGTGTATGTGCTCATTTCGTAACGATGCGTAAGCGTGTGCATGTGATAAGCAAGTAGATGTGTGTGTGTGTGTGTGTGTGTGTGTGTGTGTGTGTGTGTGTTTCTTTGTGTTAGGGTGTGTCTGTAATGTGTGTGTGTGTGTGTA